TTCAAGACTACACCGTTTCAACATTAGCTTAAAATAGACTTGACGAATTAACTGAGGAATATTTCTAGGTTGTAATTTTTTATACAGTCATATACTGAAATTTCATTCCTGCAATATTTAAAACGTTCAGCTTACAAAATATAATACTGTGACTTTTAACATAGCTAAAACGAATTTCTGTCTTACGTGTTCATCGCTTCGGATATTAAGTGTTAACTTAACTTAACAGAATAGGGAAATATTAACTGAACGCTATTATTATATGAGAAAGTAGTAATAACAGTTAAACTATTGTAGTAGTAAAATCCTTTGTTATCTGAGCAGGTTGTAATAATAGTAGAACTTAATAAATTAGATTGTAGTAATAATGGCTGAGAATAATGTGATAATTTGTTAAATTGGGGAAAAAAGTAATATATGATAAAGAACCATAGATTCTAGTTATTATACTTCTCGAAGAACAATAGATTCTAGTAGTGCTACTTTTCAAATAATAATAGATTTTAGTTATGTTGTTTCAATGGAACTTTGGGCAGAGTAGATATAGTTGGTTTGAGAACTTTAATGTGCTGCAACTGCCTGTTGAGTGAAAAGAGGACGACGTTTCGGCTTCTATAGTTCTACCTTCTATAGGTTCTAGTTATTATACTTCTCGAAGAACAATAGATTCTAGTAGTGCTACTATTCAAATAATAATAGGTTTTAGTTGTTGTTACTACTTTTACAGAATAAGAGATTTCCGAAGGAAGGTAGTATAATAACTAGAACCTATAGAAGGTAGAACTACAGAAGTCGAAACGTCGTCCTCTTTTCACTCAACAGGCAGTTGCAGCACATTAAAGTTCTCAAACCTACTATATCTACTCTGCCTAAAGTCCCATTGAAACAACATAACAAAAATCTATTATTATTTGAAAAGTAGTGTAATAACTAGAGCCTATCGTTAGTTGGAGGTAGTAAAATAACTAGAACCTGTTGTTATTTGAAAGGAAGTATAATAACTAGAACTTTTTGTTATTTGAAAGGAAGTATAATAACTAGAGCCTATCGTTAGTTGAGAGGTAGTAAAATAACTAGAACCTGTTGTTATTTGAAAGGAAGTATAATAACTAGATCCTGTCGTTATTTGAAAGGAAGTATAATAACTAGAGCCTGTCGTTAGTTGAGAGGTAGTAAAATAACTAGAACCTGTTGTTATTTGAAAGGAAGTATAATAACTAGAGCCTATCGTTAGTTGAGAGCTAGTAAAATAACTAGAACCTGTTGTTATTTGAAAGGAAGTATAATAACTAGAACCTGTTGTTATTTGAAAGGAAGTATAATAACTAGAGCCTGTCGTTATTTGAAAGGAAGTATAATAACTAGAACCTGTTGTTATATGAAA